ACATCGAGGACATATGCCCGATCACTATGGTCTGTCAGTACTGGACTCGAGAGGTCGCGTCAGCACCCCGTCACTGGTCCACAGTCGTCGACCCGAAGTTCGTCCACTACATTCATCGCTGCACATCTGGTCCGATTTACGCCTATCTCAACAAAAATGCGACCATGTCGATGTTGGAAAGCACTCACCAGCTATGCTTCTCGCGTTCGCGTCTTACAAGCAGACTGTTATGAGCTACAGCCGGAAATCGTTGACGCGCTATTCACGTTCAAGTTCCTGCTCACCAATCTGGAGCATTGCGCTCTTACCAGCGGAAGCATTCGGATTCAGCACCACCCAGGAGGTGATGGGTCCTCTGTTCGCGAGCTGCGACAACCTCCGATCTCTGTGCCTTACGGCGCTCCATTTCCTTCCTTCGAACAACTTCCCGGCCTTGCCCATCTCGAGATCACTGACCCCCTTTGGAGGGGGGACCCAAACGTCTTCGTACACAGTATGTTGACGCTCTTGTCTCGTACCCCTGCCCTCCGCACTCTCCATGTCGACTTACCCTCACGGACCGGTGCAGCGGACAGCAAGTGGGGCTCTCGCCCTGTCCAGTTGAACGTCCTGGACACTCTCAGCGTCGAGTCCGAGGATCGGCACTCCAAGACCGCAGGACATGGAACATTCAGGCGCGAGTTGCTCTCCCACATCGACGTCCCGAGAATCCGTGTCGCTTCTCTCGGTGCATACCACGCGCTCGCACTGCTTCCTAGTGTGGCATCGGCCAGAGTATGCCATGGGAAGAAGGCCTCGCACCTACGCATCGAAGTCACTTGTCTCCTCTCACTCCACGCAATGATGACCATGATTGCGCTAAACCCGGTACGCTCGGAGAAAACGCAGCTGGAGGCGAGAGAGCAGTGGATGGCAAGCAAGGACCGCATAGAGGAGGAGATGGCGCGGTGCCTACGCGACATGTTCGCGAATTATCACCCGTTCTCGACGCTCACACACCTCTGGATCGAGCACAGATTCTCCAAATGGATCTTGCTGTGTCACAAGGGTCCGCTCATATCCTCTCTTCCCCAACTGGAGTCCCTCGGTCTCGTAATTTGGGACACCGAGGAGCTTCGTATTGGCCGGTTACTGGCGGACCTGGAAGTTTCTACCAGCGGGCACGTCTCGTGCCCTCTGCTGCGTTCGTTGCTCGTAGAATGACATGGCCGAAGAGGAGGTAGAATATGTGAAGCAGCTCGCGAGGTCTCGGGCGGTGGCCGGGAGTCCCGTAGACCAGTTGCTGGATGATCGGGCTGTTGACTCCGTGTAGGGATTTCCTCGCTGCGAGAGCAGGTTTCCGATACGACTACAAGTCTTACGAGTACAACGCTTTCGGGGAACGTATCACAGACAAGAGCGTTGATCATCGTACAGCTAGTGATTTCTGGTATCGATAGGTTCCAACTATATGCTAGAGCGACTCTGATATGTCAAGTATTCGAAACGTGTTCTGCCAAGGCTCGGATAGTGGTCTATTCAGTACTGCTCTATATCATAGCAAGCACCTGCAACCGAGTTTTCCTCGTACAATAGCGTTCGAAGGGCTGTACGAAATTTTCATGGTCACTCTGCACGCCTGTAGGAGCCCAAACGTACCAGATGGCCAGGATCTGCGCAGGCAGGTGAGATTGCCCAAGGTGCCTTTGAGGTCCAGTTCTTTTTTGCGATGCAATCTTCATGGTCATTCACGTATAGCGCTGCATCCGAGACCCTCAGCTCTTCGTCCAGCCTGGCGGTGCAGATGTTTCAGAGAATCAAGACCCATGCACGAGTGGCTGTACGCACTGCCCATGAAGTCTGTTCACTGGCAAGACGTCATACAGTCACCGCACGCGACTGTACGCCGTCACAGTCTGGGTATAGGTCCGTATCACAGAGGCCGAAGATGTACATGTTGTAGACCGGCGCGCGGTTGCGAAGCTGTGCGAGACAAGCGGGTGTTGCCCCCGATAGACACGCGAGGAGTTTTCCGGGATGGGGGAAGGTGCATCCTCTTCATCGAACCGCACATACGCATCCTCGTTCACTGGAAATGCTCGCAAGTATACGTCGTCGTGAAAGCTGATGTGACTGAACACCTTATGTGCGCCGAGGCGCAGGTCCTTATAGGAGTGGCGAAAGTGTTGGTCGACAAGTATGACCTCGCCCGGCGTCATGTGCTCAGCTGATTCGCGCATTCGTTCGCCTGCAAGTGGGAGAGCTTCAGCGGATGGATCGCCGCATGCGGGTGTGTGCAGAATCCGTCCAACTGGATGCATTTGATCGCAATATCGCGCCAGGGTACCCTGTCAAGGCTTCTGCCGGAAGCATACCGATACCGCAGCTCCAGCACAGGTGTTGCCAGAACCCGTCCGCGTCGTGGAGGGAGTCGTAGAGCGCAGCGCAAGAAGGGTTAGATAGATAGAAGCAGACGTGGGTTCGAAGGTCCGACGGAGATATTGCGTCCTTCACCAAGCACTGTACCTCAGTAGGTAGGGAGAGAAACGATATACGCCGCATTTCTGACAGTGAGGCAGCTCATCAGTAAGGCTAGATGGTTCACTTCTTCGTATAGTGGCATGTGGATGGCACTTACCTGACTACTTCCCGAATCCCGCAGGCACTGAAAAGATGTGTGGTGCTTTTCTGATATGTCTTCACGGTCCGTAGAAGGATTTCTAGTGGATTGGGATACCGGTAGTCCGAGTCTTGGCAGCGATTCGAATTTCGAAGGTGGTGGTAGAACGCAAGTCCCACGCGGCCAGAGGCGCCCTCAGTGCCCCGGACCCGCTCGGAGTGCAACTTGTTCTGAACGGTTGACCACCGCCGACACTAGTCACGAACTAGAGGCGAACATAGTTATACTCAAGGTCATAATCAACGTTGTTATATGCTCAGAGAGGTACTGAAACTCGTCCACCACTAGTGATCCGCTAATATGGATCATGCAGGTCGGCCAATCGACTCGCGACAGTAAGACCTGTCGACGGACCATAGTGCGGCGTGCCGTGTCCTATCATTCAACATGATCTGTCCGCTATGGCCGTTTGAGAAGCTGGCACGGTGGTACTCGGTGTGTTGGTATGCGACCAAGAGAGTAAGTAACGCCTTCGCAGCTGAGCTGGGTACGCGCGCTCTATCATGTAGGGCTTCCTTTGTCCATGCCGCCTGGTCGACCGTCCGGAAGTAGCGGTGGCACTCGGTGGCAAACGAGTGCAATGTGCTCCTGGTGCGTGAATGCTGCGTGTTATGGTGGCACGGCGGACCAGTTACACGTCACCCTAGTCCCCTTCGCGCGCGATCTGGCATCCCTCCTGAAGTTCGGTAACCTATGGTGCAGGCAAGACCCTGTTGAGCGTATTGGCTAGGAATTCTCGTTCTAGATCCACGCTTTTGCTGGTGCGCTACTACGACTCGTAAGTACGACGGCCCGACGTTTCGCGGGATGGCCTCCGAGTCCAGCTCACCCTCCTTTGCCACCCGATCATATCCAGTGCGCCGCCGCCGAAGTGTTCAACGCTTGCCACCGACCCTCGTTCACAGCTATATCAGGCCGGTGAGTACAGCTGGCATTCTTTATACCGCACACGCACTGCTCTTCGCCGTCTACAGCATGCAGCAGAGCAACTCGTCCATCGATATGACCTCGGACGATTCACAGGGGCCTCCAGCATATTCCCCGCCCGCCAATCTCGACTCCCCAGCAACCCTCAATGCGCAGAGTGACCAAGGCTCGACTGCGTTCGTGGAGTCTGGACAACGGGGCCCGAGTGCGACGGGTTTCCTCACCCAGAGGTATGTGACTCCATCATATGCCACCCGTCAATTCTGATAGACTCTGTTACTGCAGGTCGTCTGTATCTCCGGGTACTGTCGCGAACAACCCTTCCCGGGATGCGTCCGGGATCATGGCCCCACCACCCGTCGATCATCCCTCATACTACCTTCACGACTTCCTCTTCCGGCACAAGGCGCCACGCATGCCCTACAAACAACGTACGGCGCTGCACGGAGTGCTCCGTCCGCAAAATACATGCACGCGCCCTCTCCTCTGGAGCCCGTTTATGCGACAACACCTGTCTCCCTGTCGTCGGTCAATTTTGGCAGCACGCCGATACCCGTCCTATCAGCTCCCGCTCCAACCTCGGCGCAGGTCATTGCAGCTCATCTCGCCGCGAGCACCAGCCCAGGAACCTCCGCTACGACGTCGGGTGCTCGCAAGGAGCGGGTGCAATGCCGCTCTGTTCGAGCGACTTCGGACGTGTGCAGGAGCTCAATCGGCACCAGGCTTCGGTCCACCGCGGTAAGCCGACGGTCCTCTCTGGGCCTGTTGCGGAGTTCCGATAGAAGACGCACGCAGCAAATATGGCATGTCGGAGGAGCAGGTCGCGGCGTCGATGCGTGGCCAGTACAACGGGCGGGCTATGGTCGGTGGATGCTGGAGTGCGAACTTCAACCGCAGGGATACTTACGCTCGCCATCTGAGGGACCAACACTGCGTGGGAGATCCTTACGGAGAGTATCACCTTGGCAATCGTTTGTTGGGTTAGTCGGATTACTTATACGAGTGGCTGTATGAGTGCAACTTGAACGGAACTCCGGTACATCCAGGCTCAAATGAATGACTGCGTATGTTGTAGCACCACGCCGAAAGGAGCATGGCGATATGGCCGAGCGGTCTAAGGCGCCAGAATCAGGAAGCTTGTCCTATCTGGTCCTCACGGGCGTGGGTTCGAATCCCACTGTCGTCATAAGTTGGTCCACAGATCATTTTGCTGTATTTTTGCGGGGCGCTACGTTTACTTGAGGGCAGGTTTCGACGCGTCGAATCCTGGTCATAAGTACCTGTTCCCCGACTTCCACTGCACGCCCTCTTCTACTCTTCTGATCTGCGGTGTGGCCCAGAATGTCTGGCACCGTTGAAGCATTGACCATCTCTCCCGCACATGCGCTCCCTGACGCTACGCCCAATCTCATGCCTTTCCACATCGGCTACTCGGGCCCTGCCCCCATCTCTACCTACTTTCGAATCAGATCCAGCCCGTCGCCCACGTTTGGACGCGAAGCGCGACCGCCACCGAAGCCTCTCCTGTCTCTGTCTCCGGAGGCACAGGAGTCATCGGATTCACAAGCAACACTCGTCGAGTCCGTGCAAGGGTCCTCGTCTTCGGTGACCACCGTCGCTCTGCGACTGCTGTGGATACGAATCTGGCTACGGGCGAAGGTGACGCGGCCGTTGGGTCTTCGGACTCACGCCACTACGTGGCCTCGTTCAGAGGGAGGAGATGCACGGGATGTTGGTTGACCTTCCAGACGGGTACGCGGGGATCGTGCTACGCGCGCCGGATGACAAGAAGGGGAAAGGGGCGGCCTCCGACAGTAGGAAAAGAGATGAGGAGAAGCCGTTATCGAAGGGCAGGACCACCCGGAGGTCGAAACGCGCGCAGGAGGAGGTGAAGGTGGAAGACGAGGAGATGGACGCGGCGGACATCCTAGTTACGGCGTCGGAAGAGGGTTCGACACGCGTTCTCGAGCCTGTCTCGACGTTCTCGTCATTCCTCCTGTGGAACCCGGACATTCCGGTGAATGAAGGACGCGATGAATATGTCCGCTCGCTCGCAGAGTGGACAAGACTGGCAGCGGAGGTGAGTACTTCCTTTGGCTCAATGTGGAGAACGCTCGGTTATCGAGGACAGCTTGCTGGTCTCCTATAACTTCTGGCGATACACTGCTCTGCATGCTCCGTCCCGATGTCTAAGTTCGCGCTGACATGCCTCTTCAGATCCATCGTGTGGAGGACTGCTAGTCGTGTACGTTGTATCAATACCCCGGACCGGCTCAACTCATGGGCCGCGCACATATGTATTCATAACATGCGTCTCCCTCTGCGACTCAGACGGCCTGGTTGCGACACGACTTCACATTGCCGTTTATCGCATCCCTTCTTGTAACCGCGATGGCGAGCCTACACGTTTCTCTGCGCTAAGTGCTTCTCAATGCGTCTCCCAATAGCCACGCCTCGCCGCTCGAACAAGCACACGAAGTCAGATGTACATCCCTCGTGTACGTGAGCCCCCAGTACCGGCGACCCGGGATAGTGCCAGTCAGTCGACATCCCCTGCGAGGACCATCGCCGGGTCACACCAACCTAAGTACCTTGGGGCACGAGCACGGGCGCCCCGGCGAAGAAGACGACGAGCCACGCGAACAACGGTGGAGTCGGTGTAGAGTACGGACGGCTCAGAGTTTGGTCGTGAGTACGGTGTCGATGTCGATATCGACGTTGCGACGCGGTTCGGCAGTGTCGTGAGCGCAAGTGTGACGAGATGCGATGGCGGGCATGTTGTCGACGATGGTGCGGGAGTTGCATCGGCTGTGTTCTTGCCAGTGCGTATGATGTCAGAATATACAGGCGTACTGCTTGCTGTATGTCGACGGCGTGATATCAACTCTAAACGTGAATTATCCGAAGAAGATTGAGGCGAAGGTACAGGGATCACTGAAGATACCGAAGATAACGCAGAACGAGTAACGGACATGCTGCTGCTATACGCCGGAAGACGATGACGCAGCGGCGATGCGGGTCTGGTCCCCGTCTTCTTCCTCTTCAAAGCCATCTGGGCGCGCGCCGACGTGCGATTCAGGATCATCTTCAGACAGTGCCGGTAGGTCAGGATTGATGAACGCTCCGAGGGACGAGATGAAGCTCGGCGTATCGTCATATGGGTTCCGCGAGGTGTGTAGCGGATCGTCGCGGTCGAGTCTGACGACTGTCTGGTTCACTTCTTGTAGCTCGAGCAGGAAGCGCGAAACGAGGATCGCTGTGATGCTGTGGGGGAAATCATCCGAGACAGTGAGTAAACCAAGCCGACGTGCAGATGTGGGATCGCATACGTACGGGGCGCTGAAGAGCCCGACGTAGCTTGCACCGTTGACTTCGACTTCGATCTGTGCAGGTGGTGATGAGTGTGCCTCGGCGTTCGGGCAGGACCGATGAGGTAGCAAGGCAACTTACCGCAGTCACCGAAAAGCTGAGGTGGATGGTGTTCATGATGGACATTGCTCTGGAAAACGATCATGCGAGTCTGTCAGGTGTCTTTCTGGCGTTCAATGCAACAGGACTGACACGAAGTATATGATTCCTGTGCGCGGTTCAGCGCGAGTCGTTAGCCGCGACGTCCTGGAGCATGTATAACAGCACTCTAGGAGGAGTCAGGACACACCATCGCGGAAGAGGATATCCGAGAGCGACAGTCTCTTGGACGCCCGGAGTTCCTTCAGGGTGTCCCGACTGCTGATCTTCGTCCAGGTGATATACGAGTAGAATATCGGCAAGGATGAGCGGGACTCTAGAGATGATGACGACTGTGCAGTTTCGTTGGTGAACACGCGCTATTGCTGACGATCACTGGCCAACCTACGTCTTTAAGACAGTGTTAGTATCGATCGACACGCAGCGAGATTGAGAGAGAGCCAAACCTTAGATTGAGTGCCTCAGTTGTGTTGTCTATGTCTAAGCATCCCCAGAACGGTTGTATCGTTCCCGAGATCTGATAGCCATAGTGGACCTGCGCGACATATCGGCATGAGTCATTCAACTCACATGGCTAGACTCACCAGGTTTGCGCCCACTGGCGCCAGGGACAAAGCGAGAACGAGTGCTCCCAGAAGCTTGCTCCTGCTCAACACAAATGCACGGAGAGCAGAGAAGGCTGAATGCAAGGCATCAGAAACTAGCAGCATGCCGCGTTCTCTGGGTAGACGATTCACCTGCCCAGGGTACGAACTGTGCAATTGGATGGCAGCTTTCGTGATTTGAAACAGGGAACAGCTGGTAGGGACGTTAACAGTCAACATTGCACCGCCCACGTTTCCGGGACACGGTGTTACTGAACCTCTGAGTCCATTCAGTTCAGTTCTCGTGGGCACTGTGACACTGTGACCGCTCACTTTCTCCGAAGGGAACGGTGCGAAATTGTTGAAGACCAGGAGGTAGAACGTCATGGAGATCCATTTGTTTGCGTAGAACAAGAGAGTTGCGCCGGACCGCTTCTTGACGGTCCAAAAGCACGCCACCTCTCGGTCAAACGTAATGAGAGCTTCGTAGAGGAAGAGAACTACGGCGAGAGTAGGCGTCAGATTGCCAAAGGGCGAGAATGACTTCGCAGTGGAGAGGACTTACCCGCTACTGCCAGTCCGGTGTAAGCCCCGCTGTAGCTGTTCGGCGGTCTCAGCAAGCATTTTTGTGACAGGCGACTTCAAGATATGCGACGTACGTGAGGCCGTCCAGAAGGGACGCAGTAGCAGTGGGACTGGCGTCGGAGGACATGTTTGAGTCGAGTTCTGGCCCTGCTACCGTCGGGCTTGAAGACGGGGAATGGTCACATGGTGTCCATGGCACGGACGGGCCTTTATGCGACTCGAGCACACTGGTGGGATCCGAGTTAGTATCTCAGACGCTCTCTGGTACTGTATGCACCAGAGCCGCGACGACGGCGTTCGCGCTACACTGTAGTCGGTAAGATGCGCGCGTTGCGGCGGCGACATCTGAGAACATCCGACCGGTCGGATGGCGGCGTTGCGTGGGATGGAACTTCGGATGCCTCACGAGGGTGACATGAGGCTGCGCTATGGCATGCGAACACGGGCGCCGGTGCTGTGAGTGACTAGTGAAGCCCAACATGGAGCCAGTCCGGCCTTACTACTGCCACCGGTGAACGCCACATCCGATGAGGACGTCCCTTGCAGCGGTAGAACGACCAACTTGAAGGAAGTTCTGGGTTAAGCCGCGGGTCGGGCAGAGAGATACTGGAGACATACCAAGTTTGAGCGCGCCCATGGCGATACAGAGGCAACCGAAGTGCACTCTACAGCTCACTTTGACCCGTGATCTTTGTCGACAAGAACTCCGATCGAGAGACTGAAACATGAAAGATCTCCCGAGTGAGCACGGGGCGTAACTGAAGGTTGAATAGCCGAGAGGTAGGATCACCTTGCCATTGCTCCTGCGCTTGGGGTTGGACAAGGTAATGAATGGGCGTGAACGGGTTGACTGCAGGCGAGTTACTGACTGCGCACTCGATCCTAGAGAATGTGCAGGTCGTATTGGGAGCATCACTTGGGGCAGAGCTCTGACACGTATGCACCTTCTTCATCGAAAGAGTCGTTTGTTGTGTTGCATGACTCCGGGATCGTACCTCCGACGATGGACAGACGATGTGGTCCTGTCGGTGCGGTGCGTTAAGCGTTTTGTTGACGGCGCTCGGTAGGAAGGGCGGCGTGATGTGGGACGGCAGGAGGAGTCAGGCCCAGGAATGGTAGACATGCACATCGGTATTGAAGCTGTGGCTAAGCCTAGGTTACGATTCGTGCGGACGAACAGTACAATAGGTTCACAGATGGAGGTTAGTTCTGATTCAGGGCCGGGGCGGGCATAGACGCGGGGATGGCAGGAAGCGCCGGCTGGCAGGGACAGCGAGAGCCGCGGCCTGTGCTTGCTCCTCCTCCTCCTCTCCCTTTCCCTCGTCTCCCTCGACGAACATCTCCCGCAGCCGCTTCGGTTACTGCCCCTGCCTCTCCTTTTCCAAGTCGCTCTTTTACTTGGCTCGGTTTGCAGCTGCAGCTTCCCAGCAGTACGTCTCCCTCGCGTACAGCCGCGCCGATGCTGACACTCGTCTCTTCCGCTTTGCAGTCCAACCCTACAGCTATCCCATCGCGCTTTCACGCTCTAAAATCTACTTCACGATGTTCG